AGGATCGCTTCCAGGCTGAACAGGCTGCAAAGGCCGAGCAAGAGCGCAAACGCGAGAAGCGCAACTCGAAGGTTTACTACCAGACTCCTGCAGCGTTGTTCGATGACAGCGAGGAGGAGTACCACTCCGATGAACCCGTCGCTCCCTTCGTTCCCGAAGCGCCAGCTCCTCCCCGCCGGCGCCGTCCTACTGATGCGGGCGGCCGCAAAGCCAAAGAAGTTCAGGCGATAGACTACATCAACAACCAACGTGGCACGGATGTTCCGTTGAACGATCACATCCATCGTGCTGCAAAGAGGGCTTCGAGGGTACCTTCAATGCCCTCTCATTCCGGCTCCTCTGGAAGCGATAGGCAAAGCCAGTCTAATCGCACCGCTCTTACGAGCAACGGCAATAATGAGATTCGCCTCCGTGTTGATGCGAACGCCCCACTCAGCCTGCAGTTCAACGGCGACATGGAGGGTCGCACCATGCAACTCATCCCGACCGAGGACGGCATGGCAGAACTTGTCATCAGTGGAAGTCGTGATAATGAGAGCAACTATCACAGCAGTGAAAGAGGCAGCAACGCAGGTGACGGACAGGCACTTGTAACGCGGAGCCAGCTAGAGGAGATGACCAAAGCAAGCATGCGCAGCGACCGTAGAAGGCGCGAAAGCCGAACAGTACGGGATTCTTACGATGATCGAATTGTTGAGGTGCCACGACCTTTGCGTCGCCGCGCCAACACCAGTTCGCATTATTACAACTAAGGATTTCCGAACCTCAGACACTCGCGCGCGAAAGGAAGATGCGTAGCTCGACTTTGACTCTCTTTCCTGCTGGCCACACGTAACTTCCCATCCTCTGCCCTGCGCGGCAGATCTCTTTGTATCTTCCTTTTTTCTTGGGTGGATGATTTCCATATCAAAAGCTTTCTACGAGCGCGGACATGCCTGTTTGGCAGACCTGCTCAACAAAAAAGTTCGGATCGGTTTATTCTTCGCAAGTTCCATTTTGGCACTATTGCCCACTCGCATTTCATGTTTGTATGCTTGCTGCGTTCCCTGCGACAGTGCAGGTCACATTGTTATGGTTTGCTAGACTGGGACGCTCACGCACACCAGCATCCAATGCGTAAGGGCGGCCACCGCCATTGAACTTCTTGTTTGGACCGATCAGATTGTACGGTTATCTTCTTCCTGCCTTTCGTCGCGCCCTTTTTTGAGCGTTCCCCACCTTATTCCCCCCTTCTTCTTACTTCTTCTTTACCCTGCACTATACCTGCTCCTCGCGGAGGCTTTTCGGCACTTTTTTCTCGATTTTGGCGGATGTAATACCCTTATCTCCTTTTCTACTTGTTATGGCTGGATCATGTACGTGGCAGAAATGTTTGGTAGGGTTTCCTTTTTTTCGTTCCGCTATTTCGCAAAAAAAGTAAGCAGAGGTCGATGTGTTGGCAACGGCTACGACGCTTATGATGACGGACGTATGGATCATGAACTACGCAGCGATGGATCTTTCTCTCTCAATTCCTTATTTACATAGCTGAGTTGGGATGGATGAATGGCCTGATGGGATTTATCAGATCGGATATGGCAGCTAGCCTGTTGGTATCGTGTAGGATATGATCACAATCACATCTCTTCTACCCTCCTCACCGTTACCCTGTACTGGTTCACCGCAAATGTGATGCAGGACGCCAGCACTGACCGAGCTTGCGTGCATGCTTTTGTCTGACTGCATAGGGCGACGACCTAATTCGGTCTACAGCACTTAGTCGTTTCACCCCCACACTACAACTGCGGGAATGACGCTACCCACCGTTCCTTTTTCCCACGATTCCAGACCGTGGCCTCGGTACAGTAAGGAAAATGGAAAGTGCCGGTACTGTACCCATTGGTGTTGGCGTGGGCCTGGTTGCCGAGTGTTTCCGGTGTGGCTGGCCTGTCCGCCTCGCTTGCCTCACTTGTGCTGGGCGAGTGAATGCATGTATGGTAGATTGATGAACACGTGTCGGGGTGGGAAATGAGATACACGTAGACAGCACCGGAGTAGACATGGCCAGTCAGTCGAGAGTCAAGGGTCTCATTGCTCTATAGCCTCGATGCGTTGTTGGCGACATCGCTGGGTTCCAGCATTGGCTTTGTCTGTTGCTCCTGAACGGAACGCCGTGGGGAAGGTGACCCTCGTTCGCTTTCCAAAAGCGCACTGTTCGCATCGTCTACTTCTCCGCTTTGTATCGATGACTCTTCATCCGTGTTCCCCATTGAGGTACCTTCCTCCGGTCCATCAACCCATTCCACACCCTCTGCATCCACGAGTTCAACACCCCACCTAACATCTCCCCGCGCGTCTCTAAACCAACCCAGTTTAGTCAGTCTACCACTCTTAGCAAAGCCTTCGATACCCTGCTCTTCAATCAAACCGATCAGCCCCTCGCTTCCAGCAACCATAGCCAGTACGTCTGCCAAGCACTCGACGCGATGTTGCATGCATGAGCTCGGATATACGATCTGCAAGCTCACAACCAGAATTACCAGGATAACGATGAGTAGGATGAGTATGGTAAGCGAGAGCCACGTTGCCGTCTCATTCATAGCAAGAACTTCAACCCGTTTCGTAAACGTCCCATTCACAGGCTGTGACGAGGCCCGCTGGTAGGCTGCTCTCTCAGGCCCTGAAGATGACCAGCGCCCGCTGAGACTCGACGACCCGCTATTGACAAAGTGTTTGAAGAAGATTTGTAAAGTCTTCTCGGAATGTCGCAATAGCGTTGTTGCATTTAGCAGGGATTCGGTGTCTTTGTTGGCAAGGTTCCAGTTTGCGTAGGACATGAAGTCGACATTGAGGCCACGATCCCGGTCGCGAATGTTGAAGCGTTCGCTTGCTGTTTCTTCGATGCTGCGGTTGTAGGATAGCCAGGAATGTGCTATGTGAGGTGTGATGATGTGTGGGGCGGTGAGGAGCTGCGTCATGAATAGATGGCCGTAACTAGTAGCGGTGGTGGTTAGCAATTGATTCGTGATCAACACGCTCGAGGTAGCCACTCAATTAGACGGATGCCTTACCTGACATTTCCTCTTCCTGTGTAGGATGTTGGACTAGGGTACAGGATATCCCAGGCGTAATCCCATGCGTCCAGAGCAGGCTGTGGGTCCGCCACCAAGCTGTAGTCCAAAACGTTCCCAGAACTCCTAGCTACAGTAACACTGGCGGATGTATTTTCGATGACCATGATACAGTCCATTAAAGCCATCTTGGGCTCTTCCGTGAAGTAGAGAAGCTCTTCATCTGCAGAGCCGTACGGTGCGCTAATTTGTTGTACCTTCGGGTTCGCAGCTGGATTAGCTCCAGATATCTTCGCAGTCACACCTGGCCCCACGATCCACTTGATGGTAAAGTTACGGTACCAAGAGCCTTGAACGATAACATCTTCTGGTCCATCCTCGCTGAGGGGATCGGACGGCGCATTGGCACTTGTGCAGTTGCCATTAGTAAGTTGTTCATAAGTGCATTCTTGTATGAAGAAATTGGGATCCACACGTTCAATCATTGAGCTGTTGCTGCTCCAATACGCAACGACAGCTTGCTGACCAGGATGTGTGCCATTCGCACAGCATGACAACCGTCTCCGGGCCGAGAAGACAGAGGTATTGTACGATTCGCCGTCGAATAGAGTAGTTGGTAATGCGAATCCTTGTAGCGCTTCATTGGTACGATTGGGAAAAACGTCTGCGGCTTGGTCAAGCCAGCCGGAGTTTGGTACAGCAATCGGAGAGCACTGTAATCGACTTCGGATAGCGGAAGTGATAAAAGACGCGTTTGCGGGTGACGCTATAGAATCGGAGCTTGTATGTCTCCCAGAACCGGAACGCGATTTTGAGGATACTGTGACGTTTGGCAGCTCTTGCATATCGAGTGGGGTAAACGTCCATTCGTCCTTAGTCCACGCCAGTTGCGGTGCTTCTAGAAGGATCTCGTCCAACGCGTGGTTGAGCCACTGAATATTGGATGAGTCTAACATATGCTCGTCTAAGTCGAAATTGCGCGTCCGTTCGCCTGGGTTGGAAAATTCGATAGGCTCTTGTAGAAGCTCAAAAGGTGCTGTCACCCAAAGTGTATCAATATGTGATGGGTCCCAAATTTCCCGACTAATCAATGCGTTCTGTCTTTCGAAGACGGCTGCCATGGAGATAATGACTACACGGTTAGCTACACGACTCAACGGAGCGAGAAAATGCTTACGGATTTGTGATAAGGTTGTACCAGTAGTTATCAGACAAAGCATCCAATGTTTCCGCGACGCTGATTTTGCCGCGGCCCATATCCAGTATGAAGACTGGTAAGTCAACGATGCTCCTCGTATTGGGACTACGGGTTTCCGCGACAACGAGAGATATGGCTGCAGAATCCGCATAGGTTTATCGATACCATCCCAACTCAATCCAATACAAACGGCGATTAGCGTTGCAACGACAGAGTGAGGAGAGAACGACGTGTCGAATAAACCCAAATCGACCTGGTAGGTAAAAGCAGTCTGGGAAAGCTTGTCTTCTCGTGCATATCTGCGAAGAACGAACATGATTGTTGCGATAGCGATCAGAGTAGCCAGTAGTGTAAGAAGCCATCGTTTGAGGAGCATTGAAGGCCTCCAGTCATCTTGAGAGCCATTTCTTGATCTGGGATGGCTTACTGAAAGCTCGCTTGTTTTGTCGAGTACATTCGGCTCTCTACCTTCAATCGACTCCCCTGTCGTTTCCTTCTCCAAGATGATGCCGCCTTGTAGATGATAAACCCGTGATTGGATAAGACCTTGCGTGCGCGATCTTTCATATCCAAGGAATGTACTGAACGTTGTAGAAGAAAGCGAAGTACTGCCAAGGAGGGATGATGTTCCAGCAACGGTGGCAGGATCTGAATGGAGGTTCAGTGGTCTTTTCCTGGGCGATGTGTAGAATACAGCTACTGCAATGTAGCCTGCCAAGAGCATGAACAATACTGCGAGTGTTATTGCAACCTCAGTGACGACCAGAATCCGTCTCCTAACGCGTGTAGCAAGCCCTTTTGTATCTTCCAATTGTGGGTTGTCGGCTTCTATGAGAGAGGAGAGCAAAAGCTCTTTTGTGAAGTGCATCCGAAGTTTGCTAGCTTCTTCCTCTAACGTGACGTTCTCCAAAATATTGGACACGTTGTGAGCGAAAGTTGAAGCAAGAAGCAACGATATACCCTCAAAAGAACCATGAACATTACGAGGTACGGCCATGTACTGGAGGTAGAGGTACGATGTCAGTATATGTCTCGCATGCACTTCGCACAGTCAGAACTTACCTTGTCCCAACTGTCACTTCGAAAAGTGAGATCATCCAATAAGTCGAAATCGATGGCTTGTTTCGACACAGGCTGCCTGCGTCGCTCAAACTCTGATACATCGAAGGACATGGAAGTTTCAGCGCCGTCGATGGATGCAGAGACTGGGAGGCTAGCTGTATGATAATCCGGAGTGCATACTTGTGCCCGTATCGTGAGGTTGTCCCATGAGTCTTTCTCCCATACACCCATGGGCACATCGACAGGTGACGGCCGGACAATCCATTGAGGCGATACAAGTAGCAGGTCACGCCCAATGCATTGATCGGAGAAACCATAAATGAACGTGCGAGACCATTGCTCGAGGACCTTCTCTCCAATGGAGCGAATTGCTGGAGGCTGACCGTAATCTCGAATAAGTGTCTCCCACGACACGTAGTTGGAAGACATGTTGGTCCAGAGCAAGCCACCATCATCTGTAAAGGTATCGCTAATGAAGCCATCGGAGTTCAACTCGGCTCCCAAAGCATCCCATTGAGCGATTGGACCTTGGATTTGGACCTCACAACCATCCTCTGATCGAACTTTGAAACCCTTTGAGGAGACAGTACATGTGTCGTTTGGACATGACGTTATTGGGATGTCTGTATACTTGTAGGTAATATCGATTATGTCCTTCTCGACCAGAGCCATCGATGTGCAACTGTAGTTTAGATGGAACACCTCAGTATCTGCTTGCCATATACCGTTCGGAAGCGTTGCATGGCGCTTGTCGCCGTTTGATGCTCCAAAAGGTACAATGACTTGCGAATTCGACGACCAGATAGATGTAGATACGTTGAAGAGATATCCACTTATAGTTCGGAGATATGTATCCCTTCGAGGTGAAAGCTGAACGGGTGACAAGTCTTCGCCAATTGTCTGGCCAGCGGCATACCGTTGAAGCTGCACATCCTCCTGATACAAGATTTCTTTCGCAACAAATACGGACGACGAGAAGGTTGAAATGCTGAGCACACTGATACCAGCTGCGAGCGAAGACAAGGCCAGATTCCATCTCCGGTGGCCGCCGCTCCGCTTTCGAGAGAAACCTACAAAGATGCTTTTCCACCAGACCTTGGGCAGATAGAATAGGGTGAACTTGGCTTCGATAGATTCGGGGCCGGCCATGCGTGCGTATGCTTCAGTCCTCTTTACATCCTCTGCAACCTGGACAACAGCCTGCGTGAAGAAAATGGCGACGATAGTGGGCGTATATCTCCATCCAATGAGTAGTCCAGTAGACCCATCCTCATCTCCGAGTCCATGGTTTTTATAAGAGTGCCAGCTAAGGGCTGCTAATACGGTCGAGAGTATGAGTGATGCTAGGCTAAGAGTGATCAGGTATGGGCGCCGCAGCGTGTATGGCACCCAATCTGTGGATGTCCGCAGGCTTTGATCTTGAAACTTTGCTTTAAGCTCGTCAGAAGATGTCGGACACAGTAACTTGGGGTACTCGGTGTTGCACTCACGCTCATGGGTATCATCGAAGTTCCTTATTTGCGGCTCATCCAGCGAGTGGTCATCGATTGCTCCACTGAGTGCGGTAGATGCTCGGCTGGAGAGAAGCGTCTCGTTTTCCTGAGCAGCATGAGGAGACGAATCGGCGTGTTCGCGTTGCTCTTGAGCTCGGGATTCAGGCCTGCGAGTGCGGTCGACGCCGTCGCCCTGTTCGGCGTGTTCATGCTGCGTGATGCCGCCTAAGGTATCGCTCTCAGGAAGCGATATCCATGAATAACGTTCGCGCGGTTCTGACGATGGACTAGTGTTTGAATGCGACATGCTGTTTGCGCATTAAACTCCGGATTGCGGCTCCCACGCAGGTCATTAGGCAGTCTGACTGGCATTTGTAGATCGCGCAGAGTACCTAGGTATTTAGGGAAGACATGTCTAGAGGCTGAGTGCATTCAGGCAACCATAGTAACTCCAGGAAGACTTGGCTCCATGTTACGCGCCGCAGATGCAGCGGTCACAATCAGCAGCATAGCCTCGTTACGCCCGGCGACCCACTCATGGCGGCCCAATCTCCGCTGGTTACCTGGCAGAGCCTCTTAGTCTTGGAAGCCGTTAGACATTTAAAATGCGGGCTGTGATTGCCCAGTAATAATGCGAGAGAGATCTGTTTGCATGCGACAAGACGGAAGTCGCGAAGTGCGGAGGAGATGCCAAGGTTGCACAGGGGGTCAGCGTCAGCGCTAGAGCCCAAAGGGGAAAGCGTTTGGGGGCGGAATTGTCGATCGGCGATCTTTGTGATGTAACACAGATCTTCACCGGAGTGCCTACCTACACAGAAAAAGATAGCATCGCTGTATCACAGCCGACGACAATATTACTCAATACGTGCTTACCCTATCTACCAGCACGAACTCTAAGAGACCTCGGGAGCGTCTGGCTACCGCGGGCCGCACAAGCAAGCATCAAGTACGTGGCTGTTGTGCGATCACGCAACACATGACTTCGAAATCGTATTAGCTATCTCCAAGACTAAGGGTTCTGGAAACGCTTGATGTTACAACAATAGCTGTCGGTTCGCATCGCTCCCCCCTCACTCCAGCACGAACATGGTACCATCCCAGTCATAAACCCGAGCCAGCCTCCTCCCAAAGTTCCTCGCCAGCTTAAGCGGTATCTCGTTACTCGGATGAGGTTGGTGGAAGTGTATACCTCGCTGTAGGTGCTCCAAGCCACCTGTTGGGGTAAACTCCCAGGCTGAGCCGTGCATCTGCTCAGCCGCAAAGCCAAGCTTAGTAAGTGCGCTCAAGAATTCTCCCCATGTAACCTTACCGGGCACGCTGCCGTTTTCATCAGGAATGTGGAAGAGCGCCGAGAAGACGCGATGGGCGTTTTGGTCAACCTTATAAGCAGTCTTTCCTTCCAACTCTGGCTCTGGGCCTTGCGCAACTGGCACTGCAGCTGGGCCGGGCTCGCCACGGGTCTTCTCTTTGGTCTTCTCCGTCACTGCAAGCTTGTCGAAGTTGGCGGTGACGTCTTTGGATGAGTCGTGGAAGATTTTTGAAGCTGGCTGGGGCTGAAAGATATCTTCTGGTCGATCAGACTGGTTCGGTCTTGGAAACTTCTCATCCCATGTCTTGGTCCGTCTGATTGCACCTCCTTCGTCGAAGATGCGACGGAGTGCTCTCCTCTGAGGCCGATGACAAAGCTTAGTGATATTCCCGTCCACCATGGCCCAGAAGTCGTCTAGATGTCTCTCAGCTTTACATAGTGCTTGTCGCACTGGCTTTCTAGCGGCGCTCTTTTCGGAAGGGTAAAAGAATTTCTTGTCTTTGGGATCTCCTAGGTCTGTATCCGTAATGAGCCCCTCCTTAGTTTGGAAGACCTTTCCCCAGCCTTGAAACGACCCCATAAGACTGGCTTTATACTGTGCTGGGTCTGATTCCAGGTAGTATACCGACTCAGTGTACCAAGGCTGGATCATCAATCGAAAGGCGCATTCAGCGAGGACTGAAAGCTTCGTCAATATCTGCTCGATCTGGTGACTGAAGAGATTTCTTGCCGCCGGGTTTCGTGAGAGAAAGGTCTCGAGAACGTCCAGGCCATGGTAGAGCTCCTGCCAATCCGCGATCTTTTCACCCTCGTAAGCGCCAGTGATGCTGAACAACATCATATAAGTTTCCCTCAGTAACGGCTCTTTAAGCATGCTTGGGTTAGTTTTGATATTCCTGTCGTCTCTAACAAAGTGCGTGCGGAACCCGGGGCTTGTACAAACCCCTCTGAGTTCCACCAAGTACAATATCTTCATCTCTTCGAGCAGGAAATGTGTGTAGTCGATGATTTTCACTTCCGACTCTTCAAGTTCGCTGTAAACGATCCCGTTCGGATATATCTCAAGTAGCTTTTCGAGCTCGTGCATCTGATCCGCTAGTTCCTGCCAATACATGAGATGGAAATGCGACCGAAGAACTATACCGTTCAGAGTAAGCCTCACAAAGTTCTGTCCTTGCAGTGCTGGGTGTGTTCTGCCATGCTCGTCTGGCACCATGAACACGTCATGGTTTACAGCATCTTCATAGGCATCCTCAAAGTAACCAGGATCTTCCCGAAGATGAAAAGCATGATCTTGGATAGCTTTGGCAGCAGATTTGACAAGCCGGCAAACTCTGCCGATATCCAAGCCAGTGGGTCCTTGGTAATACAACGTAGCTGCAATTTCGGCAAAGGAACTCACAAGCTCTCCACGTCCGACTAGATTGGGTGGTTCCGGTTTGATAGGATAAATGTCGTCCGTCAGCTCTGCTGGGCTAATGGGGCTCAGTATAGCCTCGCAAATCTTGACCAGGGTAGTGTAGACGAGGGATTGTATCAACAAGACCTGTAGACCCTCACCAAGGCCAAGGGCGAGTTTTCTAATCTCTAGAACCTCTACACTCTCAAGGTTCGGCCACTCACGAATCTTCCCGTAAGTCAATTCGCCGTCAAAGCGCATTTTGTTTGTCGGCAAGAGCTGATCATTGACTCGAGCGGTCGGTATAAACATACGCTCAAACGCACCGAAAGCGTATGGGTGGCTTCGGCCTCGTGCATTAAGATATATGAGAAGCGCTTTCGGATCTTTCGCGAGATCTTGAAGGTTGATATATGGTAGTATTCGCTTTGGATCGATGCTGTCTGACGCTTCTGTACTCGTATCAATGCTGGCGTCCTGCGACCCCCTACACATCGACAACCTCTAAGATCGCATTTTGCGAGAGGAAGAAACAAGGCTAGGAAGGGTTGACTTACTGATGCTTTTCGCGGGAGTGGGGACAAATTTCCCTGTAGTATCTTCGAAACTAGAGGAAAGGTGCTTGCCCGCTATGTCAGGCCAAACGCTTAAAAGGAGTTCCCTTCGCTTCGCTTCGGTCGTGTATGACTGTCTATATCTCTTGCGTATAACTTCCTCGTGACGAAGAATTATATCGTGAAGCCTCTGATAGCTTGTCGAAGCCCTCGTAGCATACTCAGTGGCCAAATCCTCGAGTTCGTTCATAGGGTAGAGATCTCCGTGTTTGTGACTGGAGAGGAGCCACTTGAAGATGGTATGCATTTCTTCGTCGGTAACTATAGACATCATTTCAGAAACGCGATCGTGTCGATATACTTCCCGCAGTTGAGAAGGACTAGGTGGGTGGAATACGAGGAGGGCTGGGTATTAATAGACGAGGCGAGCAGAAATCGCAGCCTAGAACCATCGTCGTAGAGTCCGTGACCTACTACAGTTAAAGGCCGCACTGACTAGTCTATACGACATGAGAGTGACGAACTGAGAACGCACTCCAAAGGCTTCTATTCTTCTGCCGGCGAAGGGGGTGCTTTGGGAATAGTGAAGCATCTGATTATACTTATAAATATTCACTCTGCGCTTGCTAGAGGTTGTGTGTGATCAAGAAGAAAACATCATAGTGGTTTGTGGAGTTGCTAGATTGTGGGGATGGTTAGGACAATCAAAAACAGGTACTTCGAAGACGTTAATCGAGATACAAACTTCACCTAAGATGGCTGTAAGAGCTGTATTCTCTCTCTCTTAAAGAAGGCAATCATCCATTATGCCGAGGATAGCTCAACATTTGATGAGCGGCTGTGATACATGTAACTCTGGGAGGATGCCGGGATGCTGCGTCACTTCCAAAACGCCCTCTGGACTCAAATCCAGCGGGCCCCATCTCAGTCCTCCATAAGACGTGAGCTCATAGATATCCTCTCCAGGCTTGGTCTTGGTTTTGAGATACGCAAAAGTCTTTGCATTCTCCTCCGTTGCATCCGGATCCTTGGCTACTGCCCAATATGTCGGCGGTTTTGGAGGTACCTTCCTCTTCGTGAATCTCTGTTTCCGCTCCTCGTAGCTCACACCGGGGATATCAATGTCGCTCCAACCCCGGAGATCATCAACCGTCTCGCCTTCGATCAGGGACAACTTCCAACACGGCTTTCCATTGGAATCGTGGGTTTTTTCGACACGATCTCCGTAGAAAGCCTCTAAGTTACACTCCGTCTCTTCATCGTGGCGATCACGACTGAATTCATCTGTGGATGGGTATACGAAGACAGTGGCTGTAATTGGTTCCACGTTCAAAGAGATGTCGACCTCCCTGTTGTTCCCGTCAGGAGACAGACTTGCAATGACCGCTGGTATCAACGCAAGGAACAAGAGACGAAAGCGCATGATGTGAGATTGACGGAACAAAGTTCTTGGGACAAAATGTGTGGAGAAGTTTGGTATTGAAAAGATCGTGGGATCTTTGAGATGTGAGATGGCTCAATGGTAGATAGCAACAGTTCAATGTGTGCCCGCTCTTATAGACATATTGCGACGCTCGAGATTGCGATCCTGCTATACTTGGAGTTTTACTTCGCCGTCTTGATGTCCAAAGAAAGACCATGTCCAAGCGTAGAAGTCGGCGCCTAGGAGCTATGACCGCATACCTGTCTTGAGCACTATCCATGATGAGGTCGCTTTAGAGCTAATTCGAATGAAGCACAGTGAATCTGCGACCGGGATCGATGACAACCGATGCAAACTTGTGGCGGCGGCACCTACTGTCAGTGGAGAAGTGGAGGGGGAAAGTGATGAGGTTCCGTGCCGTAATGTGAGCTCATTTTACCCGTGAAACGTGAAACGCTAGGCGATTATGTCAGACAGCAAGACCGACGTGATTGGCCCACTGTGGCCCCACTCTGACACGCCCCAAAATAGAGTAGGCTCACTCATTTGCACTTGCATCTGTATCCTTCTCTCCGCCTTGCGTAGAGATATTCCAAGCGTGCGGCGCGGCAGCCTCGTGTGCGTTACACTCGATTGCAGTGTCGTTCTGAAACGAATTACTGCTGTCAGCAATGTGCCGCTGGCGCTGGCCGTTATTACGTAGTTCACGCCGCAACACCAGCCTGAGTGCCGCGTCGCCAAAGCGAGATCATGTTTCCTGTCCTCATAGGCCTATCGTAACGCGCATGGTTACTGAAGACTGATTGGATATGGAAGTATAGCGTTGAGCTGTTTCGGTAATGTTCTTACATGCCTTCTACCACGACGATTAAGTTTGTACTCACAGGATACTACGCTAACAGTCCACCGATCACAAGAACATGCATCTTCAGCAAGACACGCGAACGAAGGGTTCGTCCACCCAATGCACATGACCTTTACGCTAATGTTAGCGCGAAAGATAGTGGTTCTTCAGCATCCTCCCCCAGATTGTCGCACTCAAGCAAGCTGAAACATATCCCCTTTCCATCCGTACGTCCTCGCTAGGCGACAACCAAAGCGTCGATCCCAGGTGGAAGGTGGCTTGCGCGTAGGATGCGGTTCGTGGAACTGAATGGGCCGTTCGACATGTAGATTTTTCGGGGTGAACTGCCATGCAGAACCCTGAAGCTTCTGCGCGGAGAATCCAGCTGGAACAATGGCGTGCAGGAAGTCAGCCCAAGGAATCTCGCCGACTTGGTCACGCGACTCTGGCGAATGGGACAGGTTTCGGAAAACTCTGCATGCGCGCTTGTCGAGAAGGAGGAATGGTTGGCTCTCAGGTTCGTCATCAGTAGCGTGTTCGATGCGCTCGATTTTGCCGGAAGAACCTGCAAGGCCGTTTGTCTTAGTCTTCGACGAACGTCCTATGCTGAGCTTATCGAAGGTACCTGCGACCTACTTGGTCGGCTTGTGAAGGCTATGGGGGTTGGGACAAAAACACATTCGACTGCTTCAGGAGACGAGCTCCTACTCGATGCGTTGCTACGCTCAACATATGGTGGTGTTCGTTGTAGAGTGCGCTCTAGAGAATGATATCAGAAACAACATCGTGGGGCGTCTTGCCTTCTTTCTGGCGGAGGCGATGGTCAGCTGGGGCAGAAGGCAATCCCGTTAGAGGCCGTTGTCACGAGACTTTTACGCCTGCACAGTCAGTGCGCTGTTTCCGAAAGAAATGAGTGGCCAATCAACAGAGGGGTTTACGTATATATCTCGCTTTCCCAACCTCGAGTCTGAAGCGTTTAGGACGTAATCAACCCCGCATCGATATCACGGCCAGCAAATTATCTCCAAAACGATTCTGTGTAAGACATCACGTCTTGCTACAATGGGTAGATACTCCAGAATCAAGTCGCAGACCAATGTCGCCATCACTTGGCTCATCGAGACTGCCTTCGAGCACGGTGAGTATCAATGTTGCCTTCCGCCACTACCTACGTATCATACCCTCTGACACGACTTTATTGTAGGCAGCAATGTGCAAGTCAGTGGCGATACCAACTCCAGAGCTTCAGCCGCGGCAACGCCCACGAGCACTTCGATCAAGACAGGCCGGTTGAAGGGAAAAGCGCGCAAAGAAGCAAAAAAGAAGGAGCAATTGCAAAGTCAAGCACCCGCACCTAAGATCAAGGCCTCGAAAACAATCTACAAAGTGTCAACCGAGGAGATACTTCGCCAAGCTCGCTATCTGAAGAATCTTGACCAGGAACTCGTCATGTCTAAGCCTGCATGGAATGCCTTCAAGGAAGCTGTGCGAGGCCGTACAGAGTACGCCACCAAATTCGCTAACAAACAACCGGACCATGAAGGTAACGCCGGTCACGTATACTTTCTCGATACACTTCGACAGGTAGTCGACATGATCGGAAAGGTTGTTCGAGTCCAAGAAACCTCTTTGGATAATTCGGCAAAACGACAAGACACGGATCTGACCTCTCATAATCTGTTTGACGTCCTCCGGGACGTAGAGCTGACCGATGGTGTACAAGGAACAGCCAACCTAACTACACCTCCCGATGAAGGTCTAGCTTACGGAGCGGCTGCAGCTGTACCGTCAGCTCGTTATGAGCCGGCCATCGACTCCGACGAGGAATCACGGTTGCGTTGGCTCTGTTTCAAGGACGACGCTGATTCAATTACATCATGGGTAATCAACCTATGGAAGCAGTACTTTGACCAGTCTGAGGAAGGTGTAAGCTTAGAGACTACATCTCTCCTATCAGATCTAGCGCTCGATCTGTTGTATAAGATCGAAGACGACATGGAGCATAACAACGACAAAGTAAACGAAGCCATGTTCAAGGAGCTAGCCTCACTCTACAATTGGAGTTCGACCGCCCTTGCCCTCTTCGATTTCCGCGTCGCTGCATATGAAGGTAGAGGATACCCGGCTGTAGTAAAGCTGGTACACAAGAGACAACCCCAACTAGGTCTCGATCCGTACAAGGATTTTATCCTATTTGACGCTAAATTTGTACGCTATCTTACAGAGCTACAGCTGGAGATGGTTAGTCATGACAGACTAATTGAGGGCCCAAACTGACTGTTCTCAGACACTACGTTTTGATGGTTGGGAGCAAAATGGACCACCGCCCAACACCAAACGTTGCCTCAGTAATGCAAGTCTCGACCTCGTATCCCGCACACTCGCTGGTCCAAGTCGTAGAAACCAGGAAGCCATTGCCGCAAGTTTTCTAGAAGGGATATGGGGTCTACACAGTCCGAACTTGCATGAGCCTTTCCACCGCGTCGCCCGGCTTGCGAACGTCATATCGGATCAGTCCGACCACTGTCGTTCCGATGGTATATCGTTTCCGGAACGTTCCCAAGACAAGCTACATGAGTTTAACACCTTGCTCTCGTGGACCATTGAGTGGCCTGGCCATATCCAGCGATATATGATTTTTCGAGCGATCGACTCCAATCACCCTGCCGCAGCCCTCTCTGGATTCCATCGCAACATCTGGAAGTATCTCGATCTCAGTGTTGCCAGGAAAGAACAACTTATCAGGTCATGCGTATCAATTCCCGACCTCGCAGGGACGGCCGAGGCGCGTCTACAATTTGGCGAGGAACATATTATACCATCGGAAGACCAAGACTTCCTGCGCAAAAACAATCCCCTTACACCGGCAAAGCTAGCTCTCAACCTGCAGTTCCTACGGGCTGAGATTGGTTTCGATTTCGCGAACGATGATCGCAGCTTGTTCCTCATGTGCCATTTGTATAACGCACTTCGGCAACTAGGCTATCTTGAAGTTCCGTGGAAAACGCTCGACTCACTGATCGACATGCACATGAAGACCATATTCCTTGGTGCACTTCCTACGGAAAGCGCAAAGCAGATGAGCAATCGCGTTCTCATCGCGCTCGGATGCGCGCCAGAACTTGTTCGAGCTCGCAACACTGGGAAAGGTCGGGAGGCAACTATCAAGAACCTCGCGGTATTGCGAGAGAAGAGATCTGGCGCCCTGTGCTTCCCACCCAGCATGGCTATCGTTGCAGATCATCTGCATGATCGTGAGCCTCTACGCCGCACATTGACGCGTCTCGATGCTGAGATGGTCGCGAAACACTCTAGAGAGAGTAAAAACTCCCGCATCAAATCGTTCCTCGACGAAGAGAACCCTACCACCTTTCTCGAGCGTCTCCGCAACCATGTCTCGGACTTCCCACGGTACCTTGCGCTCGACTGTGTTGAGCTGACACGCATTTGTGGCGGTCTTTTTAAGAGATTTAGGTCAGATGAGATGAAGGTACTCATGAAGCACGCAGAATTGGACGCAGCACACCAGCAATATGTCGCGTTGCTAATCATTCAAGAGCTCGACATGGAAGAGTATATGACACGACCAGGTATGCCTGTACGGAAATTCGCGCACGCGATAGAAGCCGCGGCTATACTGAAGGAGTACATTGAAGGTGGCGAGGATGCTCGAGCAGCGGTTCAAGACTACGTGCAGCGCAGGTAGTTCTGCTCCGCGATGATGACTCTCATACCGTAAATGTGTGCGCGTAATCTCAGAGACATACCCGCCTAGTACCCAGTTCCAGAACCAAATCATTGGCCTTCTCTCTTTCCACGGCTCATTATCCTCTAGCAGTTTTCATCAAGCTTGTCATAGATTACCTCACGCGCACGAAGCACGCCTGTCACCATACATATACAGTATTTCCCAATGAAGCCTTGTTTCATCTCAGTAACCAGTTGTAGAGTTCCCTTAGGCATGCTACATTAAAAGGTTACCACGTCGCCAGCTCGATCTATCCTCCAGGGCTCAGTCCGAGCTAGAGAGTGAGCTATACCCAATGCGGTAAAGTCACTCGGGGGTCCGCGCACTCCTTGAGCGCGCCGCAGCGTCCTCAATCTTTCTTCTCCACAACTTCGATGGCGCTCAGGCTTGAAAACAATAAGTTCGGTTTCCTTCTAACTATGCACTGTCACTTCTCTATCAATCTGGACGAGAACGTGTAAACGTCTTTCAATGCCCGCGGAATCAGCATACGTCCGAATGATGTCACATCGGACGCATTAACCGACGCGGAGGATAGCGCATCAGCACATCATCATGCCATTTGCCCTGTGCTTGCTGAAAGATGTGGGATTGTACATTTGCTGCTATTATCGTTGCAGCGGGGGACTAAGCACTGCATACCCAAAACAACTCGCACGACCTTGAGCTCACGACCCACTGGAATATCGACAACGACCAGCATTTAGGTTTCTATTACACGTTCTGAACACCGAAACTTTTAGTATTGTCGCATCACCTATCGAGTTAGGTATTCTTTCTCCACGCTGGATACCAGCACTCATCATGTCGTCGACACGCGCCAATGAGCACAACAGCGGGAAACGAAACAGTAACGCATCACAGCTGCCAGTATGGCGCCGAAGACTACGTCGCATAAAGTTACCGATACTCCCAGTTCACAATCAGGAGGGCAATAGAGATCTCGAAGTCACCACAAGCAAAGGCCACCTCTATTTTCTCGACCAGTTTCGCGACAAGGTACCTCTACGCATTCGCAACCGATTTATTGCAATGATCTCTGAGTTCGTGGGAACATTTTTCTTCATGCTCATCGGACTAGGCGGCAACTCGGCCGTCATCAACAACACAGCGGCTGCTGCACAGTTCAATGGAGGCGATGCTTCAGCAGATCCTGCTAAGATCCTGCTCATCGCTACGGTCTGGGGCGTGGCTGTCACGGTCAATGCCTGGACCTTTTTCAGGATTAGCGGTGGACTTTTTAACCCTGCTGTAACTATGGCGTTGGTCCTCATCCGCGCCGTACCACCACTTGATGGTCTTCTCGACGTCTTTAGCCAGCTCGCAGCATCTATCCTAGCAAGCGCTATCGCTTATGGACTCCTACCTGAAGGTGCTCTGGCAGCCACTGAGCTAGGAGAGAACACCACAGTCACACAGGGATTGTTTATCGAAATGTTCATCACCGCCCAGGTAGTCGTGTCCATTTTCATGTTGGCGACGGAAAAGCACAAGGCTACATTCATCGCGCCCGTGGGTATCGGTTTGGCAGTGTTTGCGTGCGTTCTCATGTAAGTCTTCCCTGTTTGCTCCGCAGCTATCTGTAGTCAGCACTGCACTACTAGGGCAAGTTACTCATGAACTATAGGGCTTCAACCTACACCGGCGCAGCAATCAATCCAGCTCGCTCTTTCGCGGTCTGTGTGGTACAGGGAAGCTTTCCTCATTACCATTGGATCTATTGGGTCGGTCCGGGGCTGGGTGCGTTGTTAGCGACTGCTTTCTACCAATTGATACGCAAGCTGGAGTACTGGACGGTGAACCCCAACGTCGACGACTACGAGACGAAGGTCGGCGAGACCATTCGAGACGTCGCGAGCAGAGTGGCAGACATATCAAATGTTCCAGGCACGAGGTCAAACGATCCAACAAGGATGCCGGAGGGACTGTGATTGTTTGACAGATCCACTGAAATCCAGTCTGTCCAACACACACAGTGCATCGAGGCGACTTGTGTCTTTCCTAGTCTTTGTATAGACCGCAGTGCTTCTATATATATGCAAAAACCCCATTTGTGCAACGATGTAGCTACTACGTAGGAACATTGGAAGCGTCCACAAATAGTAAGAAAGCAGTGCGGCATTACTACAGCCGTAGTGATCAGACCCATTTGCAATAGAACGGTAGCTTTAGTTGTCAGTGCGGTCCTAACTCCAAGAAATAAACAATGCGGACGCGATAAGGTCGGACCTGCTGATGCACGGGCCATTTGGACCCGTTGGCACCGTAGCGTGCCCGAAACCTGGCAAACCCTAGATGCCATCACCATCCACCAACATGCCCAGGTATGAAGCAATCCCAATCTCTTTGACGAAATGCCAGGCTCTGCACTCTTCACTGACCTTCCTATTCAACATTACCGCGCCGCTTGCAAAGGATGCGGGCAACACGAGGCGCCCACTGCAGACCTTGTTTATCCGAGATGCCGGTTGCTGGTGCCTCTTGGCGGGGACGCAGCGCGCCTTGGGAGGCTTAACACCTGCTCAATGCGGCAACTACGATGCGCATATCAATTAGACTGATAGATGCAGTGGAAGGTAGATAAATAGGTCCGTTGGCTGGCCTGAGCACGACAGGTGCTTCGTTGCATTCGTCTTGAGTTTCTACCCGACGTATCGTTCTTGCTTCTTGCAAGTGCGTCGCCATGCGCTCTTTCGCGATCCTCGCTGCGGCGCTGCCGTTGATTCACGCCATCGACCCTCCGCGCATGCCACACCAACCTCTCGGCAATGGCACAAAGCGTCTGAGTTACAATGAGACCACCAACGCTCCTGGTTCTTTGACGCCCTCAACCCGATCTTTCACGTGGGTTGGCACCGGAGAGGATGGCGATTACATCTACACAGCCGCGTCTGGAGACTTTGTCTTCGAGAACGTCGCCACTGGCGAATCCTCAACTTTCATCTCGGCTGATCAGGTCCCGGCTGACTACTGGGACTACTTCATCTCTCCCGATGCGACCAAAGTCATGTGGGCCGTCAACTACACCAAGCAGTACCGCCACTCTTACTTCGCCGACTACCTGATCATGGATGTTGCGACTGGAGAGTCCGTATCTCTTGACCCTGAGTCCGTCGGCGATATTCAGTACGCTGAATGGAGCCCGGTTTCGTCATCTCAGGTTGCATTCGTCAAGGGCAACAACCTGTACATGTCCACCAACGGCACCATCTCCCAGATTACTGAGGATGGAGGCCCCGACTACTTCAACGCTATTCCTGATTGGGTCTACGAGGAAGAGATCTTTGGCGATCGCTACACTCTGTGGTTCTCTCCCGATGGAACTAGGATTGCTTTCCTCAGCTTCAACGAGACTGGCGTCGGCACATTCAGAATCCCATACTATATTGAAGACGATGCGGAATACGTTCCCGTCTACCCCAACGAATTGGAGCTCCGCTACCCCAAGGTTGGCACCAAGAACCCCACGGTGGTCATGAACTTGCTCGATGTGGAGTCTGGCGAATACACCAATGTCCCCATTGATGCTTTCCCAGAAGACGACCTCGTCATTGGCGAAGTTGTCTGGCTTACCGAGGAGCACAGTAAGGTCATGTACCGCGCTTACAACCGTGTCCAAGACATGGAGAAGCTGGTACTTATTGATGTCGAAGCTGGGTCTTCCAAGGTCACTCGCGAGCGTGACGGTACCGATGGATGGCTAGAGAACTTGATGCAGGTCCGATACATCGGAGCTGTCGAGACCGCGAACGCCACTTACGGAAACGCTACCGAGTACTACATGGATCTTTCTGATATGAGCGGCTGGGCGCATATCTACCTCTTCCCCGTCAGCGGCGGAGAGCCCATTGCGCTGACATCTGGCGAATGGGAGGTTCTCAGCGTTCTCAAGGTTGACTACTCTCGCGGACTCATCTACTACACCTCCACCGAGCACCACAGTGCTGAGTCCCACATGTACTCTGTCAGCTTTTCCGGCGAGAAGACTGCCCTGGTCGACGATACCGTGACCGCTTTCTGGACCGCATCTTTCTCTTCCGGTGGCTCATACTATGTCTCTCGTTATGCCGGTCCCGACGTGCCATACCAGGAGCTCTACTCCATCAACTCCACCGAGCCAATTCGCACGATCGTCAACAACACTGCGCTTTACGAGAAGCTTCAGGGCTACGCTCTTCCCAACATTACGTACCTTGATATGGAGCATCCTTCCGGATACACCCTTGATGCCATGCTCCGTCTTCCTCCCAACTTTGACCCCAGCAAGAAGTACCCTCTCATCCTCCTTCCGTACGGTGGTCCCAACGCCAAGGAGGTACAAAAGTCCTTCAACGCGCTCAACTGGAAGGCTTACATTGCATCTGATCCTGAGCTCGAGTACGTAACTCTCACCGTCGACAACCGTGGTACCGGTCGTAAGGGTCGTGCTTTCCGATCTCTCGTCACCTCTAACCTCGGTGAACTTGAGGCTGAAGACCAGATCTGGGCTGCCAAGGAGATGGCAAAGAACGAGTGGATCGACAGCGAGCACATTGGTATCTGGGGTTGGTCGTACGGCGGCTACCTCTCCTCCAAGGTCGTTGAGGTCGGTGACCCAATCATCAGCTACGCCATGATCACCGCCCCTGTCAGTGACTGGCGTTTCTACGACTCTCTCTACACCGAGCGTTACATGAAGACACCCGATATTAACCCCGAAGGCTACAACCGCAGTCGTGTCCACGACGCTACTGGCTTCAAGAACATCGCTGGTGGTGTTGTCATCCAGCACGGTACCGGTGATGATAACGTGCACTTCCAGAACTCGGCTGCGCTAGTCGACCTTCTGATGGTCAACCAGGTCACTCCTGAGAAGATGCAGAACACCTTCTTCACCGACAGCGACCACAGCATCAACTTCCACAACAACGGCAAGTTCCTGTACAAGCAGCTGAGCAAGAAGCTATACGAGGAGAAGGCTCGTAAGGGTGACAGCTTTGGCGGACATCAGTGGAGCAAGAGGGCTTTGGGACGGAAGTGGAGGGCTTGAACGCGCTTCGAGCTCAGTCAAAAGTCATGCAATCTTTAATTCCAACAATGCAATAATGTAATGAGTATTCAAACGTCTACCAACTCTGACTTCTCATCTCATCTTGTCAAGCACCTTCTTCACTATTTACCTTGTTTCGAACGGTTATGTCTTCTTCGAAGTCGTCATCATGTTGTTTCGAAGAAAAAACGCGTCCAGATCGACAGTGCCGCATCGAGAGCGCCATGTGTTAGGGCGTCAAGGTCTGCAAGGCGAATTGCCGCTTCTACAGCTGACGTGTGTGTGTCTAGGTGAATAACCGAATCAGCAAGGGTGACAATCAACGCTGATTCCCAAGACAAACGCGATTTCTAGTCGTATAGTGAAGAACCTAGCACTCGCTAGTCGCATTGCGCCCGTCTTAGACTCCAATCACTAACAAACAAACCAGCGATATAACACAACTTGGAACGATCTAACACCGCCACCACATCTACAGAACGATCGAACAGACCTCTCCCGAACGACCAAAATGGCAGACCAGACTAGCCTTTCGATGACGCAGCGAGAAGACACGCCGAACCTTAACTCTCAGAAGTTCCAACACATGAAGACAGTATCCAGTCTTGCGGATGGACACCGCTACGCACTACAGTACTTCCCCGAAGAGCTGCAAGCGCTGCTAAACATAGCCTCGCTCAAGCTCGACGAGCGTGTCCCTGGTCACTTCGGCGCGATCCTAGGATGGCAGAAAGATTCTGGAGAAAAGTCTGAGCACCCACGGGTGACGATGAAACCCTTAGAGATTCTCTGGGATCTGGAACACCGTACTATAGTACTGTCCGATTCGTTTCCATTTAGTAGGAGTACTTGGAAGATTGTCGACATTAATGGCGAGGAAGCACTACCAGTATTGCGACGTGGCTACGATCTCGTACCGCCATTCTCTACTATCCTCACGGTTATTGACCATGATCACTTGGTCTTGCTGGAGGTATTCTTCCGCTACAACCTCCTGGTGCAAGGCTTTGACGACGCTATTGACAGCTTCAAGCACGACTTCTGGCTTTGTTTCGAGAAGCTTTGTCGCCATGTCGCGGAGCAAGCTTCGGCAGCCGATGCGCAAGAAAAGGAGCACGACGCGTATGAGTCTGAGAAGACGGAGGCTTCCACCCCTGCTCAGACACAAGATGCAAAGCTTGATACCCTCACCAGCGAAGTCGATACTAGCGACCGCGCACACCGAGACAGCAGTACAGCGCCGGAGACCAAGGGGGAAAAGGCGGAGGCTACCAGCGACCATATTGAAGAACAGCTCGCAAAAGCGCATGAGGAAGCAGCCGGATGGAAAAAGGCCTACGAGGGTGAGAAGAACTTTACAGTAAAACTAAGGTTTGTGTTACGTAAGCACGTGGCAAGGAAGGATGAGCTTGCTGCCAAGCTCAAAGAGCGAGAAGGGGAAGTACAAGAGTGGAAGGAGAAGTGTGAAGCCTTGTGCAAAGAGAGGCGGGAGACTTAAGTTATCTTATCCGTTTACAGATGTAGC